GGCATATATTACGTTGGTGGATGTGCAGGAGAATGTACCAGTGACAGTATGGCTGATCTGGTTAGGTCCTGTGATGGTGTTGCTGGTGTATATATGTGGGCAGAGTTGGCACCGAGGTTTGTTGCAAGGATTGGTTCCTGAGTTCGAGTTATTATGGTGCGGTGTGTAGTTGCTGGTGAGAATATGCTTCAGGTTGGCGGGTTGTCTGTGGGCAAGGACCGGCCTACCTCCCAAGGCCTGTGAGAGCGAGGGATCATTGTCCAGGATGGGCTGAAGATCACTAATGATGCGTTGGAGAGGTTTTAGCTGGGGACTGTAGGTGATGGCCAGTGGTGTTCTGTTGGTTTCTTTCTTGGGCTTGTCCCGTAGCAGGAGGCTTCTGGGTACACGTCTGGCTCTGTCAATCTGTCTCCTCACTTCCTCGTGTGGGTATCGCAGTTTACAGAATGCTTGTTGAAGGTCTTGTAGGTGTAGGTCTCTGTCTGAGGGGTTGGAGCATATGCGGTTGTACCTCAGTGCTTGGCTGTAAACAATGGATCGTGTGGTGTGTCCGGGATGGAAACTGGAGGCATGCAGGTAAGTATAGCGGTCGGTAGGTTTTCTGTATAGGGTGGTATTGATATGACCGTCACTTATTTGTATCGTGGTGTCCAGGAAATGGACCTCCCGTGTAGATTGGTCCATGCTGAGGTTGATGGTGGGGTGGAAGCTGTTGAAATCATGGTGAAATTCTTCCAGAGTCTCCTTCCCATGGGTCCAGATGATGAAGATGTCATCGATGTAGCGTAGGTAGAGAAGGGGTGTAAGTGGACGAGAGCTGAGGAAGCGTTGTTCCAGGTCAGCCATAAAAATGTTGGCGTATTGTGGGGCCATGCGGGTGCCCATAGCAGTGCCACTGGTCTGGAGGTATATGTTGTCACCAAATCTGAAATAGTTGTGTGTGAGGATAAATTCACAGAGTTCAGCCACCAGTTGTGCTGTGGCATCATCAGGAATACTGTTCCTGACAGCTTGTACTCCATCTGCATGTGGGATGTTTGTGTAGAGAGCCTCTACATCCATGGTGGCTAGGATGGTGTTTTCTGGAAGATCACCTATGCATTGTAGTTTTCTCAGGAAATCCGTAGTGTCACGAAGGTAGAGTGCCAATGCCCAAGATGATGGGGCGTCTGGGATTTCCAGGTTTGTGGATCTTGGGTAATAGATAGAACAACCCTGGTCGGGGCTCTAAAGGTGTGTCGATTTGTTCCTGTGTTTGTTTGGGGAGTGTCCTGAGCAGATGGTGCAGTTTCTTAGTATATTCCTTAGTGGGATCTGAGGAAAGTGGCCTGTAGAATTTGGTATTGGAGAGTTGTCTGGCAGCCTCCTTTAGGTAGTCAGGCCTGTTCATGATGACAACAGCACCTCCTTTGTCAGCCTCTTTGATTATAATGTCAGAGTTGTTCCGGAGGCTGTGGATGGCATTGCGTTCTGCACGACTGAGGTTACCAGGCAAGCGATGCTGTTTTTCCACAATTTCTGCCTGTGCACGTCGGCGGAAGCATTCTATGTAGAGGTCCAGACTGCCATTTCTGCACCCAGGGTTGTGAGTTCAATCCTTGAGGAGGCCAATTGGGGCAAAAAATTTTCAGGGATAGTACTTGGTCCTGCTGTAAAGGCAGGGGACTGGACTTAATGACCTTTCAAGGTCTCTTCCAGCTCTAGGAGAGAGGTAATCTCCATTTAAAAAAAACATAATTAAGCAGGAAAAACTTAAAAAACAACAAATAGTCTAGCACCACCTTAAAGATGAACCAAACACATAGAGGGTATCATGAGCTTTTGTGGGCACAATCCAAAAGCTCATACCATCTACATGTTTTGTTTGTCTTTAAGGTGCTGCAAGACTATTTGTTACTTTTTAAGTTTTTCCAGTTACAGACTAACTTGGCTACCCCTCTGAAGCTTTTGATAATTAAGCAGGTTCTGGAAGCTTGTTCCTTCTGAGATTTTTAAACTACTCAAGGGCATTTTTTTCCCACAAATCACAGAGGAATCTTTCTTTTGTGGCCCTTCACCAGGTGGAAAAAATGATTCTCTACACCAAAATGCCTGATTAACCCTGGTTTACAACAGTGTAAATTATGAAGTCAGTGGAGTTAAACCTGCCATGAGAGATGAGAATTAAGCCTATGGGGGCAGCTTACTCTTATATATTAGGATCTGATTCATTCACTAAGGTAGATTAGGCCCATGACCTCTTTTCCAGGGGATACCTGATGAGAATTAATCAGAACTGTGGACAAAAGATGTTAGAGAAAAGGTAGATGAAATACTGTCTTTTATTGGATCAATTGCTGTGGATGGGAGACAAAGCTTTCAAGCTGTACAGGGCCCCCTTGCATTTAGCTGTAATGCTGGAAGTACCTTTCCCAGACCTCATGAGCTATGTGGCTAGAAAGCTTCTTTCTCTCCCCAACAGAAGTTGGTCCCATAAAAGATATTACCTCACCCACCTTGTCTCTCTCATTTCCTGACATTGACACAGCTACAACTACACAGTGTGTAGCAAAATTGCTGATGGCCTGTACATTTGTCAAAGACAGGCGCTTGCATTTTTTGGTCATTTTATCAAGTTTCCTTCTCTTCACACATGTAAAAAAAAATTAAAAAATTCAGGCCCCCACGTTCACTCAGGATATTCAGAAACCAGTGCTGAAAGGGATTCATTACAAAATGTCACTTGTGAAACTTACTTAAATCTCCCTTGAGTAGCTGAGATCGTTGATGGTGAATCCTGAGGATCTCTCTCTTGGGGTGTGTCTAGACTACATGCCTCCTTCGACGGAGGCATGTAGATTAGCCAGATCGGAAGGGGGAAATGAAGCCGCGATTAAAATAATCGCGGCTTCATTTAAATTTAAATGGCTGCCCCGATCTGCCGATCAGCTGTTTGTCGGCAGATCGGGGCAGCCATTTCGGCGCGGCAGTCTAGACGTGGCGCAGTCGACGGAGCCTTTGTTGATCGCTCCGGTATGCCTTGGCTTCCCTTGTTGACCACACCACTTCTAGACTGCCGCGCTGTGCTGGATCAGCCGATTGTCTGCACAGCGTGGTGGCCATTTTTATTTTAATTAAGTGGGGATTATTTAAATCCCCACTTCATTGACTATGTTGGGTAAACCACTTTACATGGCTCCGTTGACAGAGCAATGTAGTCTAGACACACCCTTGGGGAGGAAGGAGCAGGAAGCAGGGAAATATGAAAACCAGCACTAACAGCAGTTCCCAAAGTCTCATCTTTTCCTCCCAGAGTTGGCCCATGGAAAGCCTGCTCTTGAGGTTGGGGAAAGGTACTCTCAGCATTACAGCTAAATACAAGGGAGCTCTCTAGCTTAAGAGCTTGTCTCCATCAATAGCAATCGATCCAATAAAAGATGTTATCCCACCCACCTTATCTCTAACATCTTTTGTTCAAGCTAGGGAATGTATAAAACCAGTAAAAAATCCTAGCAGATAGTTACACCTGCTGCAAGCGCTACAATATAAAATGTATACTATAGAGCCTGCAGCGCAGCCAGCTCCCCGGGAGTGGGACTGGCAGCTGGAACTGCTGTGTGTAAGCCAGCTCCTGGTGCACTCTGGCTTCCAGCCCCGCTCCCAGGGAGCCAGCTGCACTGCAGGCCCTGCAATCTAAGCTTTATCCTGCAGAGCCTGCAGCACACGGTGGCAGCCAGCTCCCCAGGAGCAAGGAGGGGAGCCAGTCTGTAACTGTAATGGAACCACTTAAATAGTTACACTTACATCCCTAGATGAGGGTGTTCAGCACTTCACAAACTAAGACAAGCCAGCTCCCTTGAGCTTGCACCTTCACTTTTGACATGCTCAGCACTTCCAGCCTTTTCTAACATCTTCCACAGTCATTATCCCCATTACATCCCAGCAGTGGGACCAAGGAATCCCGGGGACTGACTGCATTTTAAGAACCATATTGTATAGATCTGCTCTGAGCACAGTGGTTAAAATGCTGACAGCCACATGGAGCCATCCACAGCAGTGCTTTGCCCATAGTTTCCACCAATGGGAGGTGATGTTAGCAGAGGTGAAAGATTAGAGGAAAAAGGCTTGTGCAGAAAAAGTATTGCTGATCCAATGCCTATAAGTCAATAGTTTTTCCATGGCTCCATAGATTTGGGATCAAGCTCGAAATCAGTCTGGTATTGATATGATCCATTGTCCTCCCAGTCTGAGGTTCTCTCTGCAGGTGCTGGATTGCATTGGATGAAATATTGTTTTGAATTGCACAAAATGGCATTATAGTCATTAGATGGACACTTGGTAAATAAAACGCTGCAGTTGTACTACTATGTCAGTTTCTTGCTTGCATTTTCATATATTACATGCCTTTAAGAAGCATTTATACTAACTGGCTGGCTACATCAGATTCCTGCAACTAATGTAAACCTCGGAAGTGTGAGGATTTTTTATATCATGGATATTACATACTATGGGACTGATGCTCCATTCACAACTGTCAATCAGAAGAAATTTCATTAACAGGTTTACTCTAGATTTAAACCAGTGTATTAGATTGCATTGAGTGCCACTGGATTGCTCTGATTTAGAAATTTAAATGGATGTAACTCATTTAACTCCAGTTACTTCAGGGTCTGAATTTGGCTGCATGGGACTGTTCCTGCTCCTGTTAGATTGAAAATATTCAGCTGACACGGTTCACCCTTGCTCTGATTAACTTTCCAAGCCTTCACTACATTAACCAACCTAGGATGAAACTGGGCAATTTACTGTGTAGAAACAACAAAAGCTTCAATCCACCCTTCACAATTATCCACCAGGAGGTTGTAAGCCAAGCCACACACTTCTCCTTTGGGCTAAAAGCAGTATTTTTTTCTTGGCACAGAGGAAAGTCTTAGTGTGTCCCTGTATCTTTTGGCCCAACCCATGTTTGTCCTACCAATCTAGAAGATAAAATCTGCTGATGAACAAAACAAGCAAAAGTCTAACTGTAAATATTTTATTCCCCAAATTTTTGTTCAGCTTGAAATGTTTCATTCATACACTACAATAAAAAAAGGAAGCGGATGGGTGTGGGGGGGGGGGGGAGGAGGCTGAGAGGGGGAAAGGATGGCAAAATAAACTTTACCAAATTTCAAACACATTATAAATAAGTACAATTCCAGAGCATAATTTACAAATATAAAATCCCATAGAAACGCATTTACAAAGTAGTACATTACATACAAATACGTATAAAAATATTCATGGTGTTATTTCTGTTGCTGAAGCTGGTTGGCTCAATTTTAGGTCTTTGGTTCTAAGCTTAAGTAAAACAAAACAACGGTTTTACAAAAGAAGGTCCGGATTCTTCAATATACAAACCCCAGGCAGATAGGCATGCCTGCACTGTATCTAAAGGGGCTGTATATGGGCACAGAATCTGCCCTGACATTGTACATTGCAGGATTGAGGCCTAAAAAAAATTACCTAACCAGGCAATCACTGACACAGGTATTTTTACAAGGCACTTCATTAGAAATCTCTTCATTTTTTTTTCTTCTAAGACCAATACATTGTAAAGAGAGTCACACATGACCAACAGGCAATACTCCCTGCTCTGTGTCTCTATTTCATCCTTGCTGGTGTCTCTTTGTAGTTATAAAACCTCTGAAGTCACTAATCCAGTTCTTGTTCTCATTTGCAGCATGTAATGGCAAACAGATATCCTATGTTGATCAGTGAATTTGCGGGGCTGAATAGGGGAAATACTCCACATTTTGTGTGTGTCAGGGGGAGGAGAGGGGTAAGTTTTTCATCCTGGGAAACACACAAAACATACTGCAAATATTGTGCTTCGAATGCAGTCTGCAAAAGCATATGGCCTTCCTTGTTGCTCAGAGACCCTGCCTCTCTCGTTCCCTTTAGTTACATGCCATGCCCCACTGCATATCCTACACCTCGGTGCCATCCCGGGTATAGATGAGGCTATTGACAGTGAAGTTGTAATAATGGTTGTACTGGGCCCCTGGGCTGCTGCTGCTGGGGTGGAAGGAGCTATAATAGGCTGCCGTGGGCCCTGGAACTCGCTGCAGCTGGTCTGGTGGGAGCGCTTCCGGGGAAGAGCTGCTGGAGGAGACAGTGAAGGTGCCACCACTCATCTGTCCTGCGGGGAAGTTTCTATAGTGCAGTTCGCTGCTGCTGAGACCCCCGGCCAGGCGGCTCCCTCCGCTGCTCAGTGAGCTCATGCCATTGAAGAAGGTGCTCAGGCAGCCAGAGCTGGCTGAGATGATGCCTGGAGAGGAGGTTCTTTTCGGATGGTCCCTGGCCGGTGATGGCTCCAACTCTGCAGAGAAGCTGTTTCCACAGGGCTTGCCTGCAGCCGCGGGGATGGGACGCCCTTCCTCAGCTTTCAAGCCACCCACAGAGGACGCCATTGCAGAGGCGTTAGGCTCAGAGCGCCGCTTGCGCTTGCGCCGAAAATTCCCATTGTCGAACATCTTCTCACAGTTTGGGTCTAAGGTCCAGTAGTTCCCCTTCCCTGGAGGAGACAGAGAGAGAGTTCAGACAGGGAGCTCCTCCAACAGATCCCAGGCACTGAGCAGGAGCGGCTCCCTCTTTCCACCTCCCTTCTCCCCATGGGCACAACTTGCATCTGCCAGATGCCCACTCCAGACTGGCTGGCCAGAGCTGGATTCTTCTCCTGTACTGGTGCAGTTTCACTGCCTCGAGTACAGGCCTTTGGGATGTGCCCTGCAGACCACGCATCCAGAGTGACACTTGCAGCCAAGATCAGAATCGCCCCTGCAGAACCTATAGCCTCACCCCAAATGGAATTAAAAGGGACCTACAGACAGAACTCCTAATGCTCCCTCATATTACACCCCTGCCATTTACGGGTGTGACGGCCTCCATCCTGGCCAAGGCACCAGGGACCTCAAGGGCTAAAAACTTTTGCTAGCCTCAGCTCCTCTGGACCAGGGATGTTAAAATGAGGTTATTTTACTCATCGAGCAGTCGGTAGAATTTTTATTGACTCCTCGATTAGTTGACAGGGGAAGGCAGCTGGCTCAGTCCTGGCTCATGCTGGGCCCAAACCCTGCTGTGGATCTGCAATTTAAAAGCCTGCTCTCTGGTTCCTACTGTGTTTTATATTTCAGAGCCGCAGCAGGGTTTGGTCCCCAACCCAGCACAAGCAGGGACTGAGCCAGGCAACCTGCTCAGCCAGCAGCAGCTCCTGTCAGCGGGGGTCCCAACTCCCCACTGGGACCCCCTGCAGACAGGCTGCTACGAAGCAACCTTCCCTGCCCCACCCCCACACACAGCTCCTGCGCCCCCTCCCTCCACTTGCTGCCTCTGATATAGGGGCAGCAAAGGGAGAGGGAGTGTGAGTAGTGGACTCGCCTACCTGATAAGCCGACTAATTGACTACTCTTTTACATCCTACTTTGGCCAGGCACCTGTAACCCACACTCACCAGTTGGCACTGCAGTCTCAGGGAGTTCTGCATTGTTGTGCATGCCCACACTTGCTTTCACCCTGACACTGCTCAGCTGGGGCCGGGGGGAGTAGAGGAGTACATCAGCAATGCTGGGCATGTGGGGGCCCAGATTTCCACACACCCCTGACTGGGGATGGAGTGTCCCCTGACACTAGTTTTGACAAGTGTTGCAAACAGCGCACCCTCCTGGACCCAGTGTCACACCCACACTAGGCCACAGATCCCTACACAGGGAAGGGCCCTTATGCAGCATCTGCACTGGCACATAAATCCTTTCCCTA